GTGTAGATCAACGCTGGATTGTGCACCGACAGCTGCCGCAATAGGATAAACAGGTCTTAATTCTTGTGACAGGGGCAGCTGTGCTTTACGCAAGAACATCCAGGCATTGCAACCAGCGCTGCCTGCATCCCTTGAAGGTGTTTAGCTGGAACCGTAATTATATCATGCCTCTGGATTTCTGCAAGATATGTGTGCAAGTAATAATTGTCTGCAGATGATATGAGTTATGAGGGTTAGACGGAGATTGCAAGCCCCCTTGCGTCATGAAACCTTCTTGGGGACTCATGCCACCAGTCATCGGCTTGCGGCCGTCAGCGCGCCTGCAGAATTTGCTGGCTCTTTACCCTCTGCATCTAGGAGTTTGCCATACTCTTCCCAAAGTGGTGGGGTAGCTCCCAGGACAGGAACTCTTAAAGCAGCAAACGTCCACCTATCAAGAACCAAATTCTACGACTTTGCGAACATTTCCAAAACGTGGGGTAAACTGCCTGGTACCGCATCAATGGTTGCCTTCTAAGTTCTAAATGGTTCAAGCAAGACACTGCAAGCTGCTGTGTGCCCAGGGCTAAAAAATGACTACCTCATTCTGGGAGCATTCGGAATCCTGACCAAGCTCTCCTGTTGTTAGTAGGGTATGATCCCTATATAACATCTTCCCATATTCCCTACCAAGCCCTATTCAGCTTGGGCCTGTGTCAAACCAAATGCCCCTGGGTATGCGAGTACATGCACTGAGACGCCACCACAAGGTGGCACAGTGACCGTCCGGAGATCAAATGGGTCCTACTAGCCCCCAAAAATTCCTTAAATGAGCTGAGGAGGAGAGCGCCACATCAACCCTGTGCTTCTGCAAGTCAACACAACTACATACCATTATCACTATGACAAAGGACCCTGCAGAACACGTTTTGTAAGTAGTTGTTTACAGACATGAGTACTCAAGTGACCGCACACTATGGCCGCATGCTTGTTTGAAACGCTTAGCTTGAACAGCTGAAGATCTACTTATCACACGTCATGATAATGCTTGATGATCATCAGCTTCACTACGATCCCTTGCGAAAACATTGCCTCTCTTGTTCACACCGCGTGGCAACAATAAGTGTATTAGCTGTGGCAACAGACCTACAAACGGCAATGAAACTTAAATCGTATTGAGAAAACAATGGCAATGATGTTCATCATAATCACAATCATAATGCTGATAATACAGAATCATCATCCTACTCGTTAAGTAGTAGTAGCAATGTATCGCAATGCTGCACCGGCCTGGAGGTGAGGATTACAGGTGCAGGGTTTGGAACGGGCCGCGTCTCCTGCAGACAATCCCTTGCTCACCACGTGACAGAACCACATGACGTGCCAGACCCTCGCCCGGGATCCCCAACCTAAGAAAATACTAGCAGAATCCTAGACCATACAACCCTGAAAGCGAAAATCGTAAGAAATAAATCCTACCTGAAATCCGCCTTCAAAGTTTGCAGTCAGGCAGATTTTTCTGAACGAAGATTCGGGAATCTGCTGGGGTTCAAAGCAGCTGGAAGAGTCCCTCTTTCACTATAACCCCAATACATAACCTATTCTTCTGTAGCAGTTTCCCTTTTCTTTTCCATTATCGCCACATAACCCCAACATATCACCCTAAACCCTAAAACCCTTAAATCCTTAAAACCCTAAATTCCTAATGATCCCCCTTTAAGGAGTTGGAAAACATGTTGAGAAACCACCCCCATCCTTCCCGGGTAGCTGGCCCTCCCGCATTGAGGTCCAGTCTCAGTCCATGGAGGTGCTGGACGCTATCAAAACCCCGGGCTTTTTTGTATAGATCCGAGTGATAGAAAGAGTTAGAGTAGTAGCAGGAGTAGCAGGAGTAGTAGTAGTAGTAGTAGCAGCAGCAGCAGCACAAGTAATACAAGTAGTACAAGTACCAGTAGTAGTGGTAGTTGTAATCGTGGTGGCTGCCCAAGGTCTTCGCAGTCGTCGGGGCTGTCGTCGTATACACCAGCAATGGTCGTGGCACGACGAATAACACTAGCCGTAGTAAAGAAGCAAATACAGACTTCATCGTTCAGCTGGCAAACCTATCATGTCCCCGACTTTGCTGCAAAAGACCTTCTAGCAAATCACGCTGTAGGCACAGTTCTGCACAGGACCTATCAGGAATCGTCTGATCGAAGCCTGAACTCAAAAATACAAAGAAAATCAAAATAATATATATATAAACATATTTGTATATGGCAATACATATTTAACTAACCATAAGGGATGATGGAAAAGAGCATTGAAACTACTGTACTCACGGCAGCTTTTATGTGAGCTAGTATCCCCCTTAATAACCCCTATGATACTCCCCAATATCATCCCCTATACCCTTTAGGGAGTTTAGACCCTAAACCCTCAACGCATATAATCCCATATATGACCCCGTTTAAGTAGTATAGACCATAAACCCTCCTTAAAGGAGTTTGGACCCTAAACCCTAAATCCTATATTACCCCCCTTTAAGGAGTAGACTAAACCCTAAACAGTTCATTCACATTTGGAAGCTGAGGCCGTCTCCCAGAACCCGTCGAGAGCGGTGGGGCGTGCTGCCATCTGCATAGCCTGGCCCACTTGGAGGTTTCCGAAAATTATGGGGATGCACAGGGTTGTGTAGGGGATATATATATATATATGCATACCTATTCACCCACAGAGGGAGAAAGAGGGAGAGAGAGACGGAGAAAGAGGGAGAGAGAGACACAGAGAAAGAGAGCGAGAGAGAGAGAGAGTGTTTTTTTGGGTTTGGGATTTCCGAAACTTGAGGTACTATTTTGGGGGCCCCTCCAACAAGGATCGTGGTATGTTCTCATTCTGAGGTCTGCACTGGGGTCCTCCGATGTATGGAAACTACCGCTTGTATTCTGGAATTTCTGCTTAGAGGGATCCCACCTCGTTCGAGGCTCACTGACGACAGAAAGTTCATACATGCAAATGCAGGCTACTTGTCGCAGGTTGTTCAAACGACTTGTCAGGAACTAGCAATCTGGACAGGCCAAATTGGCAGATTTCTGCTTCAGTTGCCGGTATATCAGGGATGTGGCTCCCCTACCGGTGCTGAAGTCAGTGTGGGGCTCCGCTTCAGCCATGCGGACTCTGAAGATGCGCTACAATGCACTTGCAAGATCATGATTGTCGCCTAGCGCTTGGTTCGGACCCGCAAAACCGTCCCTACCATGCTTCCATGTCTAGGATGCAGTTCATGAACCTGTGCTTCGAGGAAGAGGTGTTTGACTTGGGTCCATCACGGATTGTGCGAAACCTCCCTTCTAAGGACTTTAGGAGGGACCCCTAATAGGGACCCTTGTAGCTTATGGGGGTTAATATGGGGACTACCTGGGGATAAAGGGGTTACATAATGACTATATATGCCCCACTGCAGAGGTGAGAAGTCGCTCAAATAAGATGGCTGGCATGACCCAGCCGGCTGCTGGTTGACACCATTGCGCTGGTTGAAGGAACTGCGGCCTGAACGTTCATGGTAAGAATTGCCACTCACTGAAGTAAATGGTCAGCAGTGACCCGGAAAGCAGGTACTAACCAAATTCGTGCGAGTCTGTTCTCAGGTACCCATTCATGCGATACCGCCCTCCTGCGTTGCCTTACAAAGCAAAGATGGTACCACATGTCTTACACTGAGGCGAACTCCTGTGAATGACTTTTTTTACCACGTGTCCGACAAGCATACATCGCGACTCCTTGTGAACTGAATCCCCTCTGGCTTATGTTGGCCTTCCCTTCCTGTAGAGTGCTAAGATGCTTCTAGGCTTGCAAGACGCACTAGTGGGATCTTTCCACACCTGCCCCCAAGTTACATAATATGTGCAAGCCGCACATGGGATCCAGTCTGAAGGTCAGAGCCGGAAGGTCCCAATCATCTCCATGCCAGTGGCAATGTAGCTTCTGATGGGACTTTAAGCAAGGCTTGATGGGCAACTATGTCTAGACTTCTAACTCGTCTGAGCACTTGTCTGTGCCTAACAACCAATCTCTCACACGTGTGAAAGTCTGCTTCAAGTGGTAGACGAGCTGAAAGCTCGTTACGCTCACGCCACGGGCACGAATAAGTTGCGCTCCTGCCCTCGCCCTGCGACGGCTGTTCCACAAAGGTAACGGCCACACGAATTGCCATAAGAATCATTGAGCATTGGTGAACCGATTCCACGAACATGGAATCCTCGCATTGGCACTGTCTGCTACAAGGCGAAGTGGCAGACGCTTGCTCTGAGCAGATGGAGGGCCCCGTCGAAAGGATATGTGTGCTGTGTTAAATCGGCAGAAAGCTAAAGGCTGAAGCAAAGTGAAGCTGCCACCGTATCACCATGGAGCATCTCCGGGCCCCTTTCGGGGTCGCGGGAAGCACTCCTGCAGCCATAAGAGAAAAGCCTTCATGCAGCGCTCACGAATGAGACAAAACACTGACTGAGCGGTCACTGAGCAGTGTCCAAAGCATCTGCTGCAGGATGCACTGAGCACTGCATGTCGACAACTCACGAAAAACTAGTGCTCCCAGTACTGCACGCAGAAGTTGTCAGCAAGTAGCGGGAGACGTCTGAGTGTTTTGCTCAATTGTGTGCTGGGACAACTCCATGACAGGATTGCATCCACGCTGGACCGGCGCTTTGCTCGGTGGCAGTGGATGTCATGCAGCTTGCAGCGAGGGCATTACAATTGGGCAGCTGTGCTGTTGAAGGGCCGCTAGGCCTGCAGTAAGCTCTGACCAGGCGTAACCCCCAATTGAAGGCCTTACAGCTGGGACCAAAGTCCCCTAATTCCGCACCCTTAGCGCTATCTATGGCCACCCGCTCTCGGCCAGGCCTAACTCGACGCTTGGCGAATCTCTCAGATCAGGGTCCCAACGTCCCGTTGATGCAGGCACTTCTACTGAAGCAGGTCAGCAGACATGTTCCAACATGCATAGTGATAGTGTTTCTGCATGCTCTGTGACCATTCGCAGCGCCTCATCCTTCATTCTTATTGGTCTGGAACCGCTGGAAGTGCTGTGCCGACTCGGCGGCTGGCCAATTCGTCCGAGCCCTGAAGACAACTCGCTTCACACACAAAATGGCTATTGACGTTGAAGCATGTTGGCGCTCGCCACGTTTAATTGAACCAAATCTTGAACCAGGGATTACAGAGCCTTTAGAAGGGATTCTGTGGAATAGATTTATTTCCAGAAGCTCCCGCATCTAAGTTTATTCACACTGATGTGGCTGTGGAAGCTCAGCGGCTCGAACTCTTCAAGGGAAATGCGTAAAGGCGGTCTCCTTGGCGCTCGCAGGGTGCTTATGCAAAGTCGACCAAAACAGCTGCATGACAAACTGAAGACATGTCATCAATACAGGATGTTTGCTCTGCCCCAAGCCAGGACGAGAGCGATTAATTAAGGCTACCACGGTGTGTTGTCCAGCAAGACCAAGCTCTTGTAGTGCATGTTTCCCTGTCTGATCCTTGCACGTGCACGCGCTGAACAGCCGCTCGCTTCAAAGCATAGCTACCATACACCCGCACGCGCACATACACACAGTTGGGAAAGCTCGACTCGGCAACAGACTGTTGATCCCAGTGCTTCGCGAAGTCCAATGTCGCCACAGTGCTACTGGCATATAACCTTGCATGCACACATTCCACAGGCATGGGCACAAAGATGACTGGGCAGGTCGGTGCTCAAAAGCAGCACGGCATGTAAAGTCATGGCTGCTTAGCATGCGCGAGAGGCTCCCTTTACTTGACATGCACCACGAAACTGGTTTGCATGCGACTTGGTCATCAAGATCATGCTTCTAGCTGCATCCAAGGCACGATGAGCAAACAACTCGCCGGGATTCTACTGATCGGTGCTGCCCTCGTGACTGCGTCGCCACTTCGGGAACCCAAAGGCACAGCGCGTGCATCTCGAAGTCTGCACCTCCCGGCAACCCTGGACCACTGCAGCTTGGGGCTTCTGCGGATGTTAGGTCGTGTTAGGCTTGAACCAATCATCTGCTCTGCTTGGCTCTTCCCATCTTTGGCAGCCAGCTCCCACGCACAAAAACAAAAAGCTCTGGACCATAGCGCTTAAAGACAGCGGCCTTCTAGCATTGCGAGCATCTTACGCACCTGGCATCTTTCCAATCAGCATTATGTAATGCCGTCTGCAAGCCAGGCATTGACAGCCACACGTCACGAACTGAATGCGCCAAGGGCTTGGCTCGATCGGGCTTCTGGCAGGCATCGCAGATTTTCACATTTTGACCTGATAACTGACATCTACGACAAACCGTGGACGCTCAGAGGAAAGAGCTGCCAAGGAAAGTCAGAACGTAGACAGGTTTGAGCGGCGTTCTAGAGCAGAAGCTGAGGACACAGCGATTCCGAACAGCTATTTCAAATATCTCTTCTTTCAGCCGCTCCACGTGCCTTCAGTGCAAGCTGCTCTCAGCTCAACGATTGTAGAACGAGTGCAGGCTCGCAAGCTCTTCTTTCAGCAATGTCTTAGCTGCAGCCAGGGAGCTTGGTGGCCTTCAGCTTAGTCCAAGCATCCGCGTGGATAACTTTGTTTTCAATCCCGTGCTTCAGCACCTGTTGAAAGCCACCATGCGCATCGCGCACATGGCTCCCATCAATACTAACCTGAGCTCATTGACTTACAGCGAGCTATGGCTATGAGTGGACAACGCAATCAAGGCCCTGCTCGGTGAGATTCATGTTTACGATCCCTGCAAAGGGTTCCATACATCCTCTGCACCCTCTGTCGTCATCAACAGTACAATGAAAAGCCGATGACACCACATCCCTAGTTAGCAAGTCCAAGCTACGGAGTTGCCAGGCCGCCCGAAGAACTCCACCTCGAAATCGTCGCTAATGGATGTCTTGCCAGCAGCTGGAGGTCCAAACAGCCATAAAGCCTTGGGCGTTGGGTGCTTTGAGCTTAGGGTCTGTAGGATGTTTGGTTCGGTTTCGGGTGTTTGGAGATCCATTCCCCGTGACACGCATCCCCGCCCGCTGCCAACGTCACCTAGTTCGGCAAATTTGGAATGCGGGGTGGCCTCACTAGCCGACCGTGCAACAAAGTCTATTTTACACCGGGGGGCTATTGGAGTTTTTCCTTCCGGTAATCGTTCTGCCTGGCTCAAGCCAACCGAGTCGAATATTCGCTGTCGCCTGAGCAAACACAGGACAGCCATGCCACATGCCTTGCAGGCGTGTCAGGAATTACGAAAATCATGATCATGAATGCCCATGATTGTCCAAGAGACTCATCTTCGGTGAATGGCTGTGTCAATTGCTCTTCCAAGTCTTGTGGTATCTGACCTGACACAAAGCAAGAATATTACAAGGGCTGCGCAACTAGCAGTGCCAAACACGCAGCATGCAGTAGCATGCAGTAGCAGAGAACAAGAAAGGACCTCGCACCACGTGTGAACGCATCCGCTTCGATCCACTTGACAACTCGTCGTCGTCGGAGGGCCGGTTGCGGTCTGCGCTGCTCGGCGCCATTTGCACGTACTGCAGGCTTCCCATGCCAGGGTTGGGATGGCTGTCAAGCAGCAAGAATTAAGTGACGTGTGCATGAGCTAAGAGTGACTGGAGAAGGACACTGAAACTATTGAAACATGTTCATACAGCAAACAAAAGTGCTACTTCCTGCAGCATGCAGCAACCCAACCCAAGCGAGGTTCAGCCAGCTTGTGCTACCTAATCACGCTGTAGGCAGGTGGGGCTCAGTGAGTGTGCTGACTGGACTCGGTCGCAGTTGCGAGGTGGAAAGACTGCGCCATGTTTGAGGCTGACCATAGACTTTCAAGAAGAGCCTCCTTGAGAAAGCGGCACATGGAGGCACGGAAGTTTACCAACATCACATGCTGCAAGCCGCTGGCCCAAACTCTGAGGTTTACGGCGACCAGTGATAGCAGGAGATGAAGCAAAGCACGCGATGCAAAAGTTAAGGCTGATGCGAAGGATTATGAGCTCCAATTGACCTAAGTGCAGTGATGACGGCTTTCCCGTTCAGAGTTTTGCAGTAACCGGACAAGCTGTCAGGACTTCGTTGTTTGCAACTTTGTGCAGGGTTGGAAGCTTACCAGCTTACCCCAGCGTGATCAGCCAGCCGTTAAGCTTACAAGGCTTAGGCATCTACACATCAACATGTGCCCAGGCCCTTCCCAGAATTAGGGGTACCATGTTGGCATAGTGGAAGAGAAAATGGAAACCACTACTAGGCTTTAGGGCTTTGGGCTTTATTGCCAGCAGCAGACAACTGGGCCGGGTGCCACACCTGCAATGCCAGACTATGGAGGCGCAATAAGCATGACCAAAACTCCCACCTACAACCTGCCAAAGGGATATTCATACCGATATGGGGCAGAAGCATCATGCCTGTTGCTGTGGCAATTGCAAGAACGACATGTAGGGTGGTTTGCTGGCACTTTTGTGCACCTTCTACGAAGTAGCTCATGAAGCACAAAACCTATATCTGTGGCGAAACATGGCGGTGTTTGAGCAGAATGCGTCGGTGTCTTGTGTTGCATCCTGTTCTGGATGGAGAAGCAAGTTCTGGATATTCAGGGTCGCGCAAATTGTTTGTGGGACCCTGTCTCATATTAAGTTTTAGGGGTGAAGGTGATTCTTTGCAGTGGAGAATACGCAGGCCGCAGACGTTTCCCATAAGCAAAAAAATCTCCTGCCAACACAAATCTCTTCTCTTCTCGCTCCTGTGGCCTTTAGCCCGTAGAAGGTGAGAGCAATCCCTGGTCAGATGTGCAGGTCAGGGTGAGCTTCCCGTGTGGTGGGAAAGTCGTGAGCCTGACAGTTTTCTCACATGAGACACCTTGGACCCCATCAGAGTTCCTACCACGATTTGGATGAAAATGTTCACTGGGCTGGATGCGGTCTGCAGGTCCTTCGCCAGCGCTGCTGCCAAAGAGGCCTGGATGGGTGTGTGGCAGATTTGCTCAGATTCTTCGCTTTGGCAAGTGGCTTTTGCACGCTGCCGCCTCCAGAGGCAACAGGAACGTTGGAAGTAAAAATGGATCTGTGTCTCCGGCTCCGTCTCCCAGTCTTCTGCTGGTCTCCTCGATGCCTGGCGCGAAGCGCTCTCCAGTTTGAGGCCGGCAGCTTTAGTTCAAGATGCTTAGAGTCTATTTGGATCCTGCCAGTCATAACTTTGGGAAGTCTCAGGCACTCTCACTCAAAAAGCATTTCCATCAAACCCTATGCGACGCCATGTCATCAAGAAAGGAGCCTGCAATCTGATGATCGGAACTCTAAACCGTCAAAAGATCCTGGGCAACAAAATTCCTAAATCCTACATGAGCTGTAAACTAAACTCCTGAAAGGGGGTTATATAAGGGAGTATTATAGGTGTGATGAAAGGGGATCGGAGCTTAGACAATGGCTCAAATGGACCACACCCACCTGAGAGCGATTTCCTGAAGATGTCCAGGGCTGGGACGTCAAAGGCCACGGGTCCCCAGCCTAATTGTTCCATTGGGTTTAGGGTTTAGAACTTAGGATTGGAGACTCAAATCAAGAATAACATGGAAAACAAAATTGGGACTGGGATTCTATAAGGGTTTATCGGGATTTAGGGGTTTCCGAAAATTAGAGGTACCTTATATAGGGATAGTGGAAAACAAGATGGAAAGAACTATCTAGGATTTGGGGTTGAGGCTGTTTAGGGTGGGAGGTTCCTAATTAGGCTTCAAGGTTTCTCAAAACTAGGAATACCAATTTGGGGGCCACAAGAGTAGAGATTCTGGCGTTTTGGTGTCTATGTTGCGGTCTGCCTATGTACGGAAATTAACATGTCATGCTTTTCTTCCCAGCAGTAGCATTGTATGGATAGACAGGGGATTATGCGATCATTCTATAGAGTTGAAAGGTAAGGCTAGGCTTTCGTCTTCGAGAAACTCAAAATGCTGCAGTGATGGCTGAGGCTAACGCTACCCGTGTTGTCGGCCTTGTCGGAAGCCTTGAAAGCAGCACTTCGCATTCAAAAAACTAACCTGTCTTAGGGTCTTATGAGCGTATCACAGCTTACTTGCAGACGCAAACCGGTTCAGTGGCAGTTCACCCAAGGCCAAATTTTCGACGGCTTAGGCGACGCAAGCACGTGTTGCTACTCCCCTGGCTGTGCTCAGCTCAGCCCAGCACCCAGATGCGCAGCTCAAGTCGATCACCCAAAAGACTGTGCCTGAGGTCTGCAAGTGAGATAGTATATCCAACTCTTGTAGGGCGTGGTAGAGTCTAAGAGAAAAACTGCAAGGCCAATAACATGAACTGTATTGAATGATACTTTCCACTTGAACCTCTTGGCCTGAAAAACAATGCAAAATAGTCTAACATTGACCGATCTGGCGCCGATGTGTCTCAGGATGAGGCTTCATCAGATCTATTTGGACAATGTGGGCCTCGCCGCCCTCTATGGCTCCAAGTTCTTGGCCCAGGCATGGCGATACGTCTGCAAACGCAAAACTCAAGAATTCACGATGCCGTGCGCCAAGCCATTGATGTTGGCTGTCGTCAGGTTCTGCGGCCAAATTACATGCACACTTCCACTGGGCATAGTAGAGCTGATGATAGCGGTCAGATACTTATTCCAAGGACAGTGACTTTACCGGGAGTGGTAGCAACGTCTGCTAGCTATCAAACAAAGAATACTACTTACTTGTCGTCACTCATGCTCATGGGGATAAAAGCCGCCTCTGCAACTTCTGCCGACATGCCACTGGCCAGTCCAAGAACACCTTAGCCGGGAGGCAAGCAACCAGGTGGTTCTTCTTGGGGCTCCCCTCTGTAGGATCTTCTTCGCAGCCATGTCAATTTTGCAGATACGCAACAGCACTCTGGCGAAGAAAGCAGAGCGCACGATTATCTGCATTACGATTTTTCCTGCTACTCCATCCACTTGCTCACTTGCTAGCACTTCTGCAACAACTGGTACTTGCCCTCAACTAGCAAGACGACTAAACACTGCTTGCAGTTGCGCATTGGGCTCATGAAATTTGGCACTTGGCGTTGCGCGGACCAGCGCCTTCGCTGGCTCGTCGGTCGCAAACTGGCAGATTGAAAGACTACCCATGAACATGTTCCTCTGAAGTCTTGACTACTGCCAGCTGGCGAATCACATCTGCAGCACCGGCATGCACAAGCATATGCATAACCATGGCATGACCTAAACGAAAACGCGTACAGCGTGCATCGCTTCTCTAAGGCTATCACCGCAATCCGCAACCAAACCTTAGTATGTGTGGTGGTTCACTGCACAAAGAAACCCTTTGATCTAGAAGCTGCAACTGCTCTATGTGCCCCGGACGTGCGCCAGCTCGGTCAGAGGTTCACTGGCTATACCATGACGAAGCGGCACCGGTGAAAAGGAAACCTTCAAGGTCACTCCTCGTTGCCACATCTAACTTCATCTAACAGGTAGTGCAGACCCACCTCAACAGCAAAGATTGCAGGTGCGCGCTTCTTCTCATCTACAGTCAGCTCGAAGTCCGCACCTTTATGGCATGGCGTTCCAGCTACGGAAAGCGCAAGGGTTAGAGACGCGAAGCAACTACTTTGCACCGACTTCAAGTTAAGGTCTCCTTGCTATTGATAGCACTGGCTGTAAGACTATTTCAAACCTCCTCAGCGCCGATCTGTGAGCTTCTGAGCTTCCGGCCCCACGCACCATAGTGAAGCAACTCGGTGGCAGTGTCTCCTCGCCGTACCTGAGTCCAGGAGAGGAAGCTCTTCTTCAGTCGGATTGCAGAAGATGTTCTGTGTACTCAAGTTCAATCCCAGCAAGTTAATGGGGAGAATATTGAATGAACCAAGCAGACTCAGCACCAAGCCGCTGGCCTTGAAGTAGCCTCCCTGCTGCCACTCCATGCCGAAGGAGTTTAGGAGCAGCCAGTAGTCACGGCCTCTTTTTTCACAATGTCACTATGATAGGCCATCCCAGGAGTATCATCTGAGGATCTGGCTGTCCATGTCTGTGCCCCAGCCTATGAGTGCAGCACCATGCCTGAGTCAGCGCTTCGGGCCTTTCAAGCTCTTCATGGAGCCACTGGGTCAGGCCTGCCGAGAGCTTCACCATGCTTGTGTTCGTAGATGCCACCTGACAACGAACGCCTACCCGAACCTTCATTCCTGTTTGGGAGTCTGTCCTAGATTTTGTGAGGGCACATCTCCCAGAAAAGTACAGAAAAGGAAGAACATTAAGGGTCCAGGTAGACTCTGACTCTGACACGCTTTGACTTTCCCCCTGCTGAGACTCGCACTTTCAGACCAGGATGTGCTATCAAAGAAGTCCTCTGCAGCTATCAGTCGGCAGGAGGCAGGTTGCTTTTTTCTGGCATAGAGAGCAACGCTCTCAAGGGCTTGTCTTTAGTGGCAAGTTGTCACCCTCAAAGGCTGGCTCAGGTATGGATCAGGACGCAGGATTCTAGACACCAATTGAGAGATGTCGTGCTCTGAGCAGGTCCTCATAGAGGAGGATTGAGACATACAGAGGGCCGTCTGTGATGAGCTCCTCCGCAGCAGGCGACAAGAGATGAATTGCTGCATCACAGGCGCCAGTGTGCACTTCTCCTGCATCATATGCCGCTCCAACTCAGGCACAGTGTTGCCCTCCATGATCCCTAAGATCTTGAAGTAGCTGGGAAGCTGCGTCTCGGTTGGCGAGCGGTGCCAGCAGACCAGCCGTCATCGCTTGCATGCTGAACGACTGCGACTTTGCATCCAAGCGACTTTGGGACATGCTGCGGGGAGCAAGTCGCAGGCGACCGTACTTGTTAAATGGAAGACGCTGGGAAGGCATTTGCAGGCTGTGGTATCCCTCAGATGTCATAAAATGCCAGATGGGGCGACGCAATCTGCACGCATGATGACAGGATGATAGTTCAGCAGAGGTGCACATCCGCATCTGGATGGCACATCGTGGCAGCCTCTGAGGTCTTTGCATGAGCCACTGCTGACTGGAAGTCAGCTGCTTCCATGGAGATGGTCGACTGATCGTGAAAGCATCGCATCCGGTATGGCGAGCAGGTTTCCCTTGCAAGGCCGTGCTGCTTCATGTAGTAGAAGGCCTGGCCAGGCGCGACACTGGTCACATATGTCACATCTGGCCACACTCAGCCATCCGCAAGTCACAGAGCAAGGAGTGCCTCTGCAGCACTTCCGCCAGAACATCCATGGTGCGCAGAGCAAGACACCAGCTCCTTGCTTACTCACTGTGCAAGTTCCGGCATCGAACGTAAAAGCCCAATAAGGCCTGGTCGCTAGCCCGAGCTCCCCCTCAAATAGGTTACGGTCTTTCTGGGTGCGTTGACTTTATGAACTGTCAAATGCTGATAGGAGATGCTGGCATCCTGCGCAGAGAGGAAGCTCAAAGATGCGGGCTCCTGACCTGCCACGGCTGCGCTGTGAAGAAGAAAACCAAGTGGTTTCCGTGCCTCCATGAAGTTTTACCAGGCATTCTCGGAAGGATGCAACAGCGGTTGCAGCAAAGGCCCAGCTGGAACCGCAGCTTCCTGCGGCAACTGCAGCAAGCGGGAATGGAATCTGAGTGACGGTTTTTCAGCTCTCAGAACCGTTTTGATACCGACAAAGTCCCAAGCAATTGCAAGCAGTTAGCTGGTAGTACTACTACGGATCACAATATGATTTTCGCTGTGAGTCATCTTGAGTGGCCTTGGTGACGGGAGATGCCACGAGGAAAGCACAAAGTCTTCTCCACGCGTGGGTCGAAGTTGTCTGGAAGATCAAGGCCTTACAGTAGGGCTCAGGAACATGCTTTCGGCTGTTTTTGGAAGGTTGGTGGGCTCCATCCGTCTCAGTCTTATGACATTATGCTCGATTAACAGCAATGGCAAGGTTCTTGTGGCTGTAGGGGAGCTTCAAGAGCCACACTGTAAATGCCAAAGTGGCAGTTTCAAACCATAGGTAGAATCCCATTCCAAAAGAGGTTAAGCTGGTTTTCGAGGTCAGACATGCGGGTGGATCCAGACAGATACAAGAGCGGTCATGATACTAGTGCCTACAGAACCCTTGTTGCATTCCTCTGCGCACCCGTTTTTCCGTCTTGACAGAGGCAGGGCACCTTTCTCGACAAAAGGCCGCTCCAGCTGGTGGTCTCGCCCCGCTGCCGCTGCAGCTTCCGAAGCAGACGTTGGGTCCCAGGAAAGCCTGACATGGAAAGAGGTGGCTCTCCAAGAGGGCTTCATGTCTTGCCTGATGCAGAAGTCTTCTCCCAAAGCATATGCATGTACGTACTTCGGCCACTGAACTGGCTGAACTGCGACACTCTGCTTGCAATCCGACTGTGCCTGCGTCCCGCCAGGTTGCCAGAGTCCAGCCGGCGGCTGGAGTTGAAGAAGTCCTGCGAAGCGCATGGAAGCCCAGCCTGTCTCTGCTTTTCCGGTCCACCACCCCATAAGTTCCAGTCCAGTGCTGTTTGCTCGTCTTCTGCATGCACCATCTTGCAAGGATACCGGCCTGTCCATGTGCTCATACAGCCATGGGAAGCTTCTGGAGTGTGCCCTGCCTGCATAGACCTCAGGTGCTAATGCCATCTCCTCGGGCACGCTGTGATCGAGGGCATACGACACCAGCACTTGCTCTTCGAAGGATCCGCTGCTTTCCCCGAAGGCTTCGATTTCCTAAATGCCACAGGTTCGCAGGCTTGTTTGCAGGGCAATGCAGGGCTGTATAACCATAAGGGTTACTGTACAGTATATTTGGGCTTTTATCGGGGTCCCCCTACTGAGGGAAACTACCGATTATGTTCTGCCCCACCTCCCGCATCTCAAGCTGCAGTCTCAGCACCTGCCAGAACAGCGGCATTCTGGAACCATTGCTGCTACATTCAATAATAAGGGAGACCGCAACATGGACCTCTGTACATATGCATATAGACATATTTCTGTATGTGTACATATTTACATTTGTATGCATGTACATTATTCAAACCCCTAGTATGGGACCTGTTCTCATACCCTCCTTGCTGGCCTTCCCTTCGACTGGTTGCCGAGCTACGGCCAGAATCCTGGGTTGCTTGTCAGGAACTTAAATTAAGTTACCATAATGGGAATAAATACTGTATATAGGGCATGTAGGGTATATAGGGTATATAAGGTATATGGGGTATATAGTGCTTAGGGCTTAAGTTACCATAATGAGACTATATTGACTATATAGCAATTAATTTATAGGGCTTCCTTCCCCAATAACAGCAACCCAGAATCCGGAGAAGTTGCAGCTGTGGGCGCTCCGGGCCTGCAAACTGAAGACACACAGACGGCTAGATAGGGGATAAGGGAAGAGCAAATGGAAACTACTATATTACATTATACTTGAGGGCTTTAGGGTTTAGGGTTTAGGGTTGGGGTTATACAGGGATAATGGAACAGAAAATGGAAGCTACTATTTTGCTATAGGGTATGTATTTGGAGGTTTCTCAATATTTCGAAAACATAGTTGATATTGGGGTTATATAGGTGATAATGGAAAAGAAAACGGAAACTACTGTAGTATAGGGTTATGTTAGGGTTATTTGAGGATAATGGAAAAAAAACATGGCAACTAGCACAGTATATCATAGAATATGTTGAGGCTATATTTGATGTAGGGAACCCGCAATAGCCAGGACCGTGGTTCTACTTTCAACCTAGAGCCAAGCCAGATAGAACCTATCACTGAAAGATACTGAAAGCCATATCCTAAGCCGGGCCACAGAAGGTCTTCCTCTGCTCATTGAACACTGTCCGCGCCGTTTCAGCCGCTGCCTTGCAGGTAGTCTTGTTGCTTCAAAGCCCGGCTACTCTGTGAGCATAGCGCACAACGCTTCCCTCAACATCCACAGAAGAGCTGGAGGTAAAGATTTTTCAACGTATGGACTCCTAGTATCGATGCCCCAGCATGAAGGTTTCCTCGCGCCCGCCCTCGCGCCGTCTTGCACGTGTGGGCATTTGCGGAACGATTTGCTCTTGCGCTGGCTCTTGCGCGAGCTTTGGCTTTTGCAATCCCATTAAACTTCTCTAATGCCAGCCTCGGTCTTGCTACAATATCTACGATAGGCGGGGTTTGGAACGGCATCCTTGCGTGTTATTGCAATGGTTGTGTGAACTTGGTCCCGCTGTCCTTGGCTTCTCGCCAGTTTGTTGGAACAAGGAGCTCGGCATCGTCTGCGGCACCTCACGGTAGAAAAGTCAAAGCTCATGGAAGAATCATGGAAGCATCAAGCTACTGCCATACTTGCTCTCATAAGCTTTGGGCTGAAAAGACTGCAAGCCAATGGTTTCACCTTGGTGACCTTGGATTTCACGCGCTGAATGTTGTGAATTGTAGCCTTGGGCTGACCCAGAAGCCTGGAAGATGGAGAGATCCGTGATCCGATGCAAATGGGCCACTTCAACCTCCACTGGAGTCCTTAGTCCCCCCGCCTTCCCTTAATAGGGATTATAGTAGGGATAATGGACAAGAAAGTGGCAACTACTATAGTATATTGGGGTTATACAGGGGTTATATAGGGATAACGGGTTCCCAACTACGGCGGACCCTGAAAGGCCCATTGTTTGTCGGGCAGCGGGACAAACTTGTTGGTCGGCTTCAGAAGCAGCTTGTATATGGAATAGCCTTCCATGTCCTTGCGCACCGTCCCGGCAACGGTATAGTCTTGACGTCGAACCGGTGCCAATGTAAAGCCATAGCACTTCTGCCGCATCTCATTGATTCGGAGGAGTGCAAACTCGAAGGCTTCATTAGCAGAAAGGAAATTTTCTGGCAAAGCGCACCACTCACCCCGCTCACAATGCTCCGTCACAGCTACCTTGTTTTTGCAGGCAATGTCGTCAACTGCAGCACTCAGACAGAAACTGGCAGCAACTACCACCTTCAGCAGATTCCAGAGGCACATGTATGCAAGTTCTGCCAAGATGCAGGCGCAAAGTTCAGATCTCCAGCGCTGGAAATCCCTCCAGGTAGAGCCAGTAACATTAGCAAGTGCATGCCGGCTCTTTGGGCATGCCATCGGCACTTTGGCCGACAATCCATGGTGCACTTTGGCACTCAGTCAGATCCTCTTTGGGACCTGTACATGCAAAGCAGACGTGGAAGGCTCCAATCTAGTGCTAGATTGACGTCTAGAGTGTTTGACATGTTATGCGTGCAGCAGACAAGCGAGTGTTTGCCAAGCTATCGTAAGTTTCATCTCAGAAGCTGCGGGCTACAAAAGCAGTGTTGACGGTCAAGTCACGTGAAATTGTGAGCGTGCTTATCAAACCCGGCTAGGCTCACAAACATGCTCCAACAAGCAGACCCTGCACTATAGCTTCCCAGATCCCCCTGCTTTGAGCGAGTTCTGAAACAATCAATCCGCTCATCCTACCCATCCGTCCACCATCTCTCCTGCATGCTTAAGGCACCTCAGGAAGGTATCCATGATCTATGAACCCCCCCCAAAGCGGGGGGAAAAGACAACTTGATTGTAGACAGAGAACGGGTGGTTCTCTTGGATGGCAACAGAACACAGCAGCAAAAGTAAAAGAGTGCACCATCTCATGCACGCGAGGCAATTTTAGCTCTCCACAGCATGCTGCTGCAAAGCTTCTCAGCTGCACCTTGGACAGCAAAGACTGATGGTGAGCTCAAAAGC